CAACAATCCCGAGAGCCCCAACTGGCAGTCCTTCCACCCGACGCTGCGCGAGAGGTGAGCTGCCACCCGCCCCCGGTCTCTGGAGCTCCGGAGCCCGGGCGCGCGCCGTTCCAGCCCGTGTGCCTCTCCCCTTTACAGGAATGCGCTCATGTTCAACAACGAGCTGATGGCTGACGTCCACTTCATCGTGGGGGCCTTGGGGGCAGCCAGGCGCGTGCCCGCCCACAAGGTGGGTAGGGGCGCAGCCCTGTCGCCTGGCGGGCCTGGCTAGACGCAATATCCCCAGCCTTCTCTACAACCCTGTAGCTCAAGTGACTTTCTTTTATTCACAGTACGTCTTGGCTGTCGGCAGCTCTGTCTTCTATGCCATGTTCTATGGGGACCTTGCGGAAGTCAAATCAGAAATCCACATTCCTGATGTCGAGCCTGCCGCCTTCCTGGTCTTGTTAAAGTAAGTGCTCTACTCTGGGGCTGGAAGGATGGGGTGGTTACCTTCCAGTTGTCCCCTACATGGTTCCTACAACCTAAGAGGTTGTGCATGGGAGCCCATGAGTTCCTCTCTGAGGCCAGCCCTTGCAGCTCCCCAGAAGAGTCCCTGCCTTACCCAGGTACATGTACAGCGATGAGATTGATCTGGAGGCGGACACAGTGCTTGCCACTCTGTATGCTGCTAAGAAGTACATTGTACCTGCATTAGCCAAGGCCTGTGTCAACTTTCTGGAGACAAGCCTGGAAGCCAAAAATGCCTGTGTCCTGCTATCCCAGAGTCGACTGTTTGAGGAGCCTGAACTGACCCAGCGCTGCTGGGAAGTCATTGATGCACAGGCTGAGATGGCTTTGAAGTCTGAAGGCTTCTGTGAAATTGACCGGCAGACCCTGGAGATCATTGTGACCAGGGAGGCCCTCAACACCAAAGAGGCTGTGGTCTTCGAGGCGGTCCTGAACTGGGCTGAGGCAGAGTGCAAGAGACAGGGCCTCCCGGTCACCCCTCACAACAAGAGGCATGTTTTGGGAAGAGCCCTTTATCTAGTCCGAATTCCAACTATGACTCTAGAGGAGTTTGCCAACGGTGCTGCCCAGTCAGATATCCTGACCTTAGAGGAGACCCACAATATCTTCCTTTGGTACACAGCTGCAAACAAGCCAATCCTCGACTTTCCCCTGACCAAAAGGAAGGGCCTTGCTCCACAGAGGTGTCACCGCTTCCAATCTTCTGCCTACCGAAGCAACCAGTGGAGATATCGTGGGCGCTGTGACAGCATCCAGTTTGCAGTGGACAGAAGGGTGTTCATTGCCGGACTGGGCTTATATGGGTCCAGTTCTGGAAAGGCTGAGTACAGTGTGAAGATTGAACTCAAACGGCTAGGGATGGTCCTAGCTCAGAATCTCACCAAGTTTGTTTCAGATGGATCCAGCAACACATTCCCAGTCTGGTTTGAGCATCCAGTCCAGGTGGAGCAGGACACCTTCTACACTGCCAGTGCTGTCCTGGATGGCAGTGAGCTCAGCTACTTTGGGCAGGAAGGAATGACAGAAGTACAGTGTGGAAAGGTAGCCTTCCAGTTCCAGTGCTCCTCGGACAGTACCAATGGGACTGGAGTCCAGGGTGGACAGATTCCAGAGCTCATCTTCTATGCCTGAGGTGTAGGGCTTGGGGTGGACTTGCCCATTAGGCCAATGCTCTTCCTCCATGGAGTCTACCCAGTAAGTGCAGTGGAGGTGCAGGACACTGCCTACTGCCTTACTGATACCATTAAAGGTTTGGCTTACCATATCAGCCCGAGTCTGAAACAGATGACTTCTCTTTACAGATCTTTAGGAACAGAATTATACATGTCCCCTGACCCTGAGGTGATATTCCACAGATGGAGGACAGATGCAGGTCTAAGGTGGTCCCCAGGTCCCTGCCCAGTGGCACCCAAGCTTCAGGACCCTTGGATTCTCCTCCCACTCTTTTGGATTCTAAGTGGCTCCAGCATACTTTAAGGCCTTCCATTCAAGCCACAAGTTGCTGAAAAGTCACTTAAAATAGTTCCATCCTATTTAAGTGAATTTTCATAATAAAGGTTTTACGGAACAAGAGCCACATGTAAATAAGTGACTGTAGGAAATATTAACTGGGGCATTCTCTGTCTCATCCTCATGCTGTCTGTATGAAGTCTGCAGTGCAGAATGGTTCAAATCAAACCCCATCTTAGCAGAGCCCATCTATGACTGTGTGGCATCTGAGCTGTCTTCCTCTCAAGGGCTGACTCTAGAATTCTGCAGAAGACCACATGTCTGGGTGATTGTGTTTATTAAAGCACCTCAAGGTTCTACTGCAGAGGTCAGACTTAAGGATTAGGCTGTGTGCTGTGGGGTGCTGTGTGGATAAGAAGGATCCCTAGGCCCAGGTCCAGGCCTCCTTTTTATAATTGTTTTGCCCTGAAAAAGCACCTGACCTTCAAAGGCCCACTAGCAGGGCAATGTTATCTGGGAGAGAGAAGCCTGGCCCTGCTGGGCTTCAGATCTACCCTCCCAGACCCTTTGGCTCTAGCTCCCAGTAGTGCCTCTTGACTGTGAGTTGATACTTAAGAAACCATGAAAACCCCATCCTTGCACATGAGAAGAGCCATGGCTAGAGGGTACCTGCTCCTGGAACTTCTTCCCTCAATTATTAGGAGGCTCCTGCCTTTCCCAAGGTATCCACCAGGTTCCCAATGTGAAGTGTTATACTATTCCCTTTGGTCCTGAGGCACATCTGATAGGCATTGATGGAAAGCTTTGAGTCTGCACCAGAAATAAAACCCTACTGCCTATATTTCCCACAAACTTTAGGAGAAATTCCTTAGCTTTGGGGTTCTGTACTTTGGCCTGACAACCCTCTACTCTGAGCACCTTAGCATGTTAGTTTCCAGAGGTGGTATTGTCTGAGCTCAGCCTACCTATAGCCGGTGCGTTGATGCAGAGCTCCCTCGCCAAGAGCAGGAACGTCTTCCCCAGCACGTACACATTCACCTGTGACAAAAAGAACATAGCTAGGAATGGCACTGGTATTCAAGGAAACATCTCCTTTTTTCTTTTTTAATAATTTGTGTGTGGGGTTTTTTTGTTTTGTTTTGTTTTTGTTCTTGTTCTGATTTTCAAACAGGGTTTCTCTGTGTAGCCCTGGCTCTGGAACTTGCTCTGTAGACCAGGCTGACCTCAAACTCAGAACCACCTGCCTCTGCCTCTTGAGTGCTGGGTAAAGGCAAGCACCACCACACCTGGCTCAGCTGCTGTTTTTTATCTTAAAGTGTCTTCAAAGAACCCATTGCCAGAGCCCCCTGCTGTACTGTGGAAAATCCATTCCATGCCTCTCTGCTGGTTTCCACATCGAGCGCCAGCTTCTTCCTATTTGGCTGCCCTTAATCTTGTCAATGGCTGCTTAGAAAAGTTCTTTGAGGATACCCGCTTGAGTATGGTAGGTAACACAGTACAGTTATGCTTAGTTCTAAACTAACACAAGACTGATATACAACACAGTAACTACTCTTCCTCTTACCTTTCAGTCCCAGAGATCTCAGTTTCCTTGCTAGAATTTCAAATGTTTCCTCCACTACCCTCACCTCAAGTCCTTATCTGCCATGTAGCCTTTTGGCCACCTGCTCTTCTTTGCCAGAGGAAGTAAGCAGTGGGAATAATTCCATTCTGGAAAGGCTGTACCAAAGGCTGGAGTGGCTGGAATGCTATCAGTTGTCAGGAAAGCAAAGGTTTAGCCAGTGTGCAGACCCCTAATGTGCAGTTCAATACATCAGCGCAGCACTGCATGGACTAGCCTGGGATACTCAGGCCTACCCAACCCTAGAGTATCCTCACATCCTTAGCTCCCTGAAAGCCCCACTGCACTCATGCCAGGTCGTGCCTTATAGATATGACTGGTCTAACCTTCTGCCTTTGGCTTCCTGAACGAACTCCCACACCTAATCAAGTCTAGCCTGTGGGTCCTCTGCTAAGCCCCTTTTCCTGGCATGAAGATGATACCCCCAGATGTTGACATATGTCAAAAGACAGAGTCTAAGGGATGATACACAATGGGGTCTTCATTACATGCAGGACTAGGGGAAGAGAGTTTGTGACTAGTCAACTTAGTCAACCCAATTGAGAAGGCCAGGGTCAGCCTCCATAGCCAATCAGCAGTGGGCTGGTCACCTTCCACCCTGGCTGGATATAGGTGTCTTCCTGAGGTCTTCATGAGGACTGGTGGCTCAGAGAGCACTTTCTGAAGTAATTCTACCATCCTGCAGTTTCAAGGGTCATCTATAAAACTATGGTATGCATGACTATATGGCCTATGAGAGTATTCATATATGGTATGGAAACATGCATAGGTCATATAATATATAGTGTGTGTTCAAGTATGCAACTAAGTGTGCTCCCATAGCAGTACTCTGTTCCTGCAGCATCCTCTCAGGTTTCTACAGACATCCAGGTCCCCACTCTAGTGTTGTGGCCAAAGCTAACCCCAACTTCCATCTACCCACCTCAAACTCCTTCACTATTTTAACCTTGGGTTCCAGATGGATATGTTTGATGATGAAACATGAATGCTACAGAAAGAGACTGAATAGACTTCAAGTGTAAATTCAAAATTTTAACACTTTCCAAGAGATGGCTCGGTGATACAGACCACTTGCTTCCCATGTAGAGGCCTTGGGTTTGGTTCCCAGCACCCACATGGTGGCTCACAGCTATCTCTAACTCCAGTTCCAGAGGATCCAACATCCTCTTCTGGTCTATGTGGGTACCAGGGACACAGTTGGTTCACACACATACATGTAGGCAAATGCGCATACAAATAAATCTAAAAGAAAAAATCTAAAGAACTTTCTAGAGATAGTTTTTAAGCATCTGGGACTACAAGTGTGTACCACTACACTTGGCTTCTAGGCATACTAATATTGGTAGGTACTGTTAGATATCATCACATTGATAATTTATTCTCCTATTGTGGCTATCTGCCTTTGGTATGTATGTGAATCAGGAAAAAGTGAGGCTTTAAATTCAGGGTCTCTGCCAGTTCTACTCTGACTCCTCTCTTCAAAGCAGCCAGTTTCACCAGAGGCCTTTACTGACATAGGCATGAGCCCTACCCAGAGACAAGCAAAGGTGTCTTGTCTTAAGGTCAGACAAGGCCTGGCCCCAGGGAGATCTGGAGGAACAAAAGAACATACTGTGAATGTTCTGGGGCAAGGACAGCCTTGTATGGTCTCCCATGCAGGCCCCCTCACACTCCATTTAACCAACATGGCCCTACCAAGAAGAGTAGTCTGTGCCACCCAGACTATACAGCTGCCCGACCTCAGCCTCTCCTGGTGGCATGCCACCTTCTAGCCTGACAGTCTGGGCTGTTTTCCCATTTCCAAAGCTGTGAAGCCAAAGATGACTGGTGCACCTGTTTTCCTCTAAGAGATGTCCAAGCTACTTGTGGTGCTGCCTGGCCCTGGCCCCCATCTTTTCTGGGAGGCTGGAAACAGTCATGTGGCCATGCTCTGAACTGAGCACAATGCATTCAAAGGTGGAGTCAATGGATTATCACAATTCCAAAAGGTTATTTTTAGCTTAACCAAAAAAAATTCAGTAATAGCTGCTGAGAGATGCCATTTATAAAGACAGCTGGGAGGACAAAAATACAAGGCACCATCTGACTGAACTGTTAGTCAGAGGTACTGAGGGATTAGCAACCAGGAGCAGCACCCTGGCCTACGGGCTCTTAGGACCCCTGGGGCATCCAGATCAGGGTTTCCATTCAGGGTGAACTTGTGGTCATTCATTCTACTTCCTGGTCTGTAGTGTCACTGTAGACCTCAGGGAGAGATCTGGAGACTTCAGTTAGTCTTTAGCCAACTGCCGCCCACAGTGCCATCAACGGGGCAATTCTCCATTTCCCTTTCTCCTTCACTGCCTTTGAAGGTACCTAGGTGCATCTTCTCATAATGTTCAGTTACTTAGAAGTGAACAGTGCACTGACCATTGTGTCACATGACTTTAATCCCAGCACTGCAGAGGCAGAGGCAGGCAGATCTCTGAGTTCCAGGCTTGCTAGGGCTACATGAGACCTACTCTTAAAAAACAAACAGAAACAAGCAATGCAACAAAAAACACTTTATGTGAATCTAGAAAGCTAATGACCCTAAATAGACTGTACTTACAAAGGTTGTTTGCTGTTTTGGTTTTTTTTTTTTTGGTTTTGAGACAGGCTTTCTCTGTAGTTTTGGAGCCAGTCCTGGAACTAGCTCTTGTAGACCAGGCTGGCCTCGAACTCGGAGATCTGCCTGCCTCTACCTCCCGAGTACTGGGATTAAAGACTTGGGTCAACACCGCCCGACTACTTACGAAGGTTTTGCAGAGTTTGAAATACAGCAATGGGATCCAATATTCCCTTTAAGAAAAGAACTTTCTTTGCCTTAGACTGAGTTTCACAAGGTTCTCTCAAATGATTCTAAGGATGAGCCACCAGGCCCTGGATAATACTGTGGCTGTGAGCTGCCTTCTCCTACTGAGGCCCCAAACTCTGGCAACACAAGCTTCACCACCCTGAACACAAAGGCTGCTATAACCACAGGCAGCCTGTGTAAGAAACACAAGCTGTGACCCTGCCATGCCCTCAGGGCAGAAAGACTTAAGGAAAGTGATCTACCTGGAGCAGGTCGCTGAGGTCAAGGAGCATGTCTGCAGCCAGAGTTAAGGAGTGTTTGCATGGAGGCTACCAGGGTTATATACTCAGGGAGCTGGTCCTCATTTGTCAGATCTAAGCTCATCATCTGACAATTTCCTCCCTCTTTTCCAGGGAGGAAAAGGCCCTGATGGAACTAACCAGTCCGCAAGGGACTCTGGGAATCTACTTTAAGGACAGAAAGTTACAAGAGGGAGTGGGGGAAAGGGTCGGGGAAACCAGAAACAGGGGCTTCAGATGTCTACTGTACAATATCTTCTGGTCAGACACAGCATAGAAATGGACTACCACACCTCAGCTCTATTCCTTAGGCACAGACTGGGAACTTCCAAATCACCATTCTGAGAGTCAGCAGGGCAACTCCTAGGGGACAGACGCAGACATTAACAGCAAGCCAGTGGGACTCTGATGTGAGATCTATCCTTGAAGTGAGTATGAGAGTAAACGTTACTAAGAACAGATCTCAGATGAGTCCAAACTTAGATGGCACACAGACAAAATAGAAACAAATCACTTGTCAGTGAAGTTAAGCTGCTGGTTATAGGTCAGTCCAGTAGTAAACTGTGCTTAACATGTATAAGGCACTGCATCCATTCACAGTGCTACACATTAAAAACTTATACAGGCTGCAGAGATGGCTCAATGGCTAAAAGCACTTGCTGTTGCCAGGCGGTGGTGATGCACACCTTTAATCTCAGCACCTGGGAGGCAGAATGCACATACAATGAAAATAAATCTCAAAACAATTTTTAATAATATAAAAATTAATGAACAGGCCAGGCATTTAATCCTAGCAGGTAGACCTCTGTGAGTTCAAGGCCAGTCTGGTCTACATAGACCCAGGACAGCCAGGGCTACATAGAGACCTTATCTCAGACAAACAAAAACAAAAAAACACAAAGGAAGGTAATTGTCACATATAGTTCCAACACCTAGGGGTCTGAAGCAAGATCACTTAAACTCTAGTTCAGGGCCAGCCTGGGAGAAACAGTTCATCTCTAGAAGACAAGGGGGAAGGAGTTTAGATGGCTTAGCTAGTAAAGGTATGTGCTATGCAAACCTGAAAACCTGAGTGTGACCTTAGGAACCCATGGTAAAAGAAGGAAAGTGACTTCTTAAAGTTGTCTTTTGAACTCCACAAAGTCCATGTGACACACATGTCTGTGTACATACACAGAGATACACAGATAATAGATTTTTAGATATACATAATTTTATAAAGATAATAAAATGGAAACCAAAACATGGGCCAAGCTTATGAGCAAAAACTTCATAAAGAAAGATAAGCAGCTCATGCACACATGAAAAGAATTCTACTGCACCGAGGGATCACAGAAACCTGTCCAGGGCACTCATAACACCAAATGTTAACAAGGGTATAGACACCCTTAGTCCCTACACTATCCACAGACTGACGTGGCACAGCCACTGGGGACAATTTGCACGTTTCTTATAAGACAAACTACAGACCCACCTCTAACCCAGCTATTCCAGTCAGATGCATTTACCTGAGACAAAATCATTCACCCACAAAAGACGTGCATAAGCATGCTCACAGGAAATTCATTCAAAATGGCCTCATACTGGGACCAACCCAGGGATCCATCAACAGAAGGCTAAATACTGTCTTATAAATACAGTGACTATAGTGGGGAAGCAACTCAACAAATACAAAGGTTGCCAAGTAACAAAAAGCTTAGAGCAAAGAGCTTAGGCCATGTGCCTATATTTAAAGTACATCCCAGCTCCAAAAGCTACAGAGAAACCCAGTCTCAAAAAAATTAATTAATTAATTAATTAAAAAAAAGTACATCCCAGAATAACAGAGCAAGTCTACAGTTAAAGGACAGAAGAATGATGACAGCCTTTAGGGGCTGGAGAGGCAGGGTCTGACTGAAGGGGTGTCAGCAGACAAAGAGGTGTATAAACTGCTCAGAATTTACCAACTAGTAAAGGAAGATCTATTCATTTTATTTTATGTCAATTTTACCTCCAGATCTAATCTTGTTTATCGGCAAGACTGGGCTAATGGAGTGGGCGGAGCCCTACTGCTTGCTTTGAACTGTGTCAAAAATAAGATGCTAAAGGACAGAAAGCTGATGGGAGGAGAAGGTGGCTGGGGTAGAGGAAAGACCACAAACTGTTCATGGGAGAGTTCAATTACTTCAACTCTGTTGTGTTTGAAAATTCATTCACATTAAAGTTATGGCAGAAATTTTATATAATTTTAAAGATACTAGAATTCAACTTTCAACCAAAGTGACTATTTTTCTTGATAGGAAAAATCACCCAGCTGCTAGGAAGTCTATATGCAGGTCCTCCAAATAATGACTAGAGGCACTATGTCCTCCTAGCCCCTCTACTTCTAACGTGGATGCTGGAGTTTCTTAAGTCAAGAGAAGAGTCAAGGTCTGGATAAGGCATGCAAGAACCCCAAATTCCAGGGGCAGGACCACTTTGTGACCCAATCTGGGTCTATCACATCCTGACAGGTGACACTTGTGCTCAGCCAGACTCCAGCTCCAGTTGTTAAGGAGAAATATAAACACAGCAGAGTGGGAAATGAAGAACTGCTAGAGGTGGGACTTTTGGGAGGGGTAGGGAGGCCTGTGAGACTCCCTCAGGCCATCCATAGTTCTGACAAAGTCTTAGAGTGCCAAGGCAGTCAGTGTTGGAGGTCAGGATCAGTTTCTCTGTAAACAGAGCAGGCTAATGGCCAACCACGACCTCTGACTGGCTGTGCTTAGTAGAAGAACATTAACAGACAAGATTTGATTTAAACTGATATTCTCCATAGGGTTAAAGTTTAGAGATTTAAATGAAGCAGAACTAGAGCAAAATGGAATTTATTTTTTCTTTCTATTCCTTGCTCTCTTCCTTTTAGCATGGAGGCTTGAATCTAGGACCTGGCACATACAGCTCTCTACCACTAAGCTAAAGCCTTAGCCTATTCCCTATGTTTTCACATTTGAGCTACATGCAGGGTCCAAGTTACCCTGTGTACTCTCTGGTTTTATGTGTCAACTTGACACACGCTAGAGTCATCAGAGAGGAAAGAGCCTCAGATGTGAAAAATCCAGATTCAGCTGTAAGGTACTTTCTCAATTAGTGACAATAGGGTAGGGCCTAGCCCATGGTAGGTGGTGCCATCATCCTTGGGCTGTTGGTCCTGAGTAAGAAACTAGGCTAAGCAAGTCACGGGAAGTAAACCAGTAAGCAGCACCCCTCCACAGCCTCTGCATCAGCTCCTGCCTCTAGAATCCTGCCCTGCTGAGTTCCTGTCCTGATTTCCTTCAGTGATGAATAGTGATATGGAAGTGTGAGCCAAATAAACCCTTTCCTCCCCAACTTGCCCTCCTGCCCCCATTGGTTTTTCGAGACAGGGTTTCTCTATGTAACAGCCCTAGCTGCCTTGAAACTTACTCTTTAGACAGGATGACCTCAAACTCACAGAGGTCTGCCTGCTTCTGCCTCCCTAGTGCTGGGATTAAAGGCGTGTGCCACCATTGCCCAGCTCCCAATAGTAGAAACCCTAACTAAGACACTCAGACTATTCTTGAACTCATGCTCAGTTTAGGCTGACCTTAAACTTGAGATCCTCTTGCCTCAGCCTCATGAAGCTGGGATTACAAGCCTGTATCTCCAAACCCAGCTATGAAATTTGTTTATACAGCCTCACATATGAAATGTTTCTATAGATATCCAAAGACAGTAACAAGAGAAATGGCCCTTCTATGTGCAATCTGACAAAAATATCTGTGTTCATAACAGGAGATGAATGGTTCAGTGGGAAACCACCCAACTAATACTGCCATTACAGGACCCCAAGAGATGAAGAAGAAAAACTAGCCTAGAACTCACCATAGTCCACTTCTCACATCTCCTGGGCCCTCTTGCTCTAAATGACTGTTCCCTGCACAGTGCCATTCAGTAAGGTTCTTCTCAGCCCAACCACAGCACTTCCAGAGCAGGAGCTCTCAGGATGCTCCATCAGGCAAAGGCAACATGATGACATGGAAGCATAAGGCCTTCCCTTTCCCATTTCCCTGAAAAGGTAATGGACTAAGAACCAAGGTTACCAAACGCTGGGACAGAGGCAGAATTAAAATGCAAACAGTTAGGGCCTGTAGCTCCTGGTGTGGCACAGTGCAGACCCCTCATCAGAGGGTGACATGGACTTGATAGAAGCTCCCAGTGCATACTGTCCAGGGCCCCTCCTTGCACTGGGACTATGAAAGAGAAGCAGGCTCAGGATACTCATATCTGTCTTTCTGAAACAGGAGCTAGAGGGGCTGAGGTCATTCTTCATAGCTGCCTAGGCCAAATATATGGACTGAACAGAACCTGGAATGACTTGAGTTACCCCAGGCCTTAGGCAGCTCCAGCAACCAAGGACAGGTCCCATGAGAAGCCAGTCCTCGGGACACTATCTACAGACACTAACTGGCTTCAAAGCCCAACAGAACAGATGCTCTTGACGGTGTTTAAAGTCTCAAGAGGACCTGATGATGGGCTTCCTTAGTCCAGCTCCATGGAAGGATTGGCCTCTCACCACTCCAGCAGCCACCTGTGCCTATGAGTAAGTTTCTCTGCATGTGTGGCATATCTCAGACAACTGACACACATTGTTCTAAAAGAATTATCTGTATAGTGTGGCACTGCCAACATGCCTCCTCAAAGCCTCTTCTGCCTTGATGACTGAGCCTGCACCTACCAGATCCAGAAATGCCAAGACCTGCTTCTGCCTGCTCCACCTTTGTGATTTCCCAGGAGTGTAGCAGCAAACAGTCAGTTCCCACTCAGATTCACTTGATACTTGTCTCTCCTCTCCAACTACTGAACAGAGGTACGGGACTTAGGTGGAAGCCACAGGAGCCCACTCTGTGCTCAGACCTTTGGAGATGGTCCTGAAGATGACACAATCACCTGCCAAGGCAGTTACCATCACACTTCAAGTTCTGGGCTTCTAAGTACATTTGTGCAGCCTAGAATCCTGATGGCTCTGGGAACAGCAACCCAAGCACAGTTTAATCACCTGCTCATAGTCTGATAGAGATCCTCCCTCCTGCCAAGGACAGCTGTACCAGCTGAAGTAGGAAAGCCAGGCACCACTGCTCTTCTAGTCCCAAGGTCATCTGCTGCTCTACAGAGCAAAGCACAGATGACAGGAAAGTAAGTTCAGTGAACGATCCTGACTCAAAAACGCAAGTGAAGAGGACAAGGAGATAACTCAGTGGGGAAAGGGACTTGCCGCCAAACCTGACAACTTGAATTTGATCCCTGGACTTACACGGTAGAAGAAGAAAACTGACTACAAATGGTCCACTTCATCCCACATATGCCCTGTGGCATGTGTGCCACCCCCCACGACACACAAGCACGCACGCGCGCGCACATACACACACACACACACCAAAAAATAAAAGGACTGGCTTAAAAGGTAAAGTTTAGGAACTGTCTCTAACCAAAAGGTGAGCAGATGGATGAAAAGGAAGCAAAGGTTACTTAAAAGCCTGATGGGGCAGGCAGAGTAAACAAAATAGAAACCAAGTGACACAACAAGTTCAAGGTGGGAGGTAGCCAGAGCGAGGGATCTACTGGAGAGAAGATGCCTTGTGCTTGGTGAGATAGCAGCACACCAAGGTCCCTGGAATGATGGGAGAAGACACTATAAGCAGTACATATATGACAGGTGTGGATAGTACAAAGCACTAGAGGAAGCTGGGAGTTACTGACAGAAGACTAGACTGTGCAGGACAAAAGATGGAATTCCTGACATATGTGCTGCCGACAGAGCTCAGGGCTGGGTGTCTGGGAAGAGCACAGGAGAATTAGACCTGAAACCTCAAGAAACAAAGCTGCAAAAAGGAAGCGGGGGGGGGGGGAGTCATGAGCTGTCCTCCTATGCCATCCAAAAGTGGCAGGCACTTAACAGTCTAGCCTGACTACACCCACCTTGACAGCTGAGGTGGTCTGAATGAAAATGGCCCCCATAGATTCAGGGAGTGGCATTTCTGGAGGTGTGACCTTTTTAGAATAGGTGTGGCCTTGCTGGAGGAACTATGTCACTGGAGGTGAGCTTTGAGGTTTCAGAAGCTCAAGCAGCCCCAGGGTCACACTCTCTCTCTGATGCCTACTGATCCAGATATAGAACTCCCTGCTACCTTTCAAGCACCATGCCTGCCTATTTGCCACCAAGCTTCCTGCCATGATGGTAATGGACTAAACCTCTGAACCTGTAAGCCATTCCCAATTAAATGTTTTCCTTTAGGTCATGGTGTCTCTTCACAGCAATAGAAACACTAAGACCTAACTAAGACAGCAGCTTAGAGAGGGAGCCCTGCATCAGTTGGGACCATACATCCAATAAAGGAATTGATGGGGGGCTAGAGAGATGGCTCAGAGGTTAAGAGCACTGACTGCTCTTCCAGAGGTCCTGAGTTCAATTCCCAGCAACCGCATGGTGGCTCACAACCATCTGATGCCCTCTTCTGGCCAGCAAGCATACAGACAGACAGAACACTGTATACATAATAAGTAAATAAATCAAAAAAAAAAAAGAAAGGAATTGATGGTAACATCAACGCCTAACTCCTGCAACTTCTAAATCAACATTTGAATAATCACCCAAGAACCAAGAGGGGCTTCCATAACAAAGGATATGAGGTGTGCCTTCAGTTCGGCAAACCAAGTAGAGGCAGGCAGCAATCACGTGGGCCATTTTCCGTCCTCGGGTCAGATGCTTGCTTACAGCCATCTTGAAGAAGTTGAAGGCTGTGTCCAGACAGTGCTGGTTCAGCTGCAGTTGGCTCCCCAAGTGGTGGATGTGGCGCCGTCCTAGAATGGAATACAGAATGACCTCCAGTCACAAGTTTCAACTTAAAATTATGCATCACAAGAGCACCTTACAATTTAAGACTGGAGCAAAGCCTGTTAGTGTAGACACGATATTTTACCTACTTGAGAGATTGAGGTAAGAGGATCACAACTTCAAGACCAGCCTGGGCCAGGTATGATGGCGCATGCCTTTAATATTAGCAGAGGCAGGCAGATCTCTGTGAGTGTGAAGCCAGCTTGGTCTACATAGTGATTTCTAGGACAGTCAACACTAAAGACCCTGTCTTGAACAAACTAAAAAAAGAACCAGCTTAGGCTATACAATGAGTTCAAAGCCAGCCAGAGAAACTTGGTGAGACCCTCTCTTAAGAAATAAAATAGGATGGACAGTGGTGGTACGCACCTTTAATCTCAGTACTCGGGAGGCAGAGGCAGGTAGATCTCTATGAATTTGAGGCCAGCCTGGTCTACAAAGCAAGTTCCAGGACAGCCAAGACGAAGAAACCCTGTCATGATTAAAAAAAAAAAAGTAAAACTAGGCTGGAGAGATGGCTTAGTGGCTAAGAATACTGGCTATTCTTCCATATAACCCAAATTTGATTTCTAGCACCCATATGGTACACAGACATACATGCAAGCACATGAAATAAGTTTGTTTGTTTATTTAAGTAAAATGAGGGTTGGAGATGGAGCTCAGTGGTAGAGAACTTGCTTAGAACACACAAGACCTTAGGTTCAATATTTGGTAATTCAAAAATAGAGAGAGAGAGAGAGAGAGAGATCGATCCTTTGGCCCAAGATTTTTTAAATTCAGTTTGAACATTCTAATCAATTTTCATTATGGACACCAAAATATTGGTTTCCTAATTTTTCACATGTCATAAAACCCTATTCCTTAGGCTGGAGAAATGGCTCAGAGGTTAAGAAACTGGCTGCTCTTCCAGTTCTGGAGTTCAAGTCCCACAACCACATGGTGGCTGACAATCATCTATAATGAGATCTGGTGCCTTCTTCTGGTGTGCAGGCAGAATACTATATAAATAAATCCTTAAAAAAGCAAAACAAAAACAGAAAAAACCCAAGGGACTGGAGAGATAGTGCAGCAGTTAAAAGCACTTGACTGTTCTTCTAGAGGTCCTGAGTTCAATTTCCACAACCACATCAGGTGGCTCACAACCATCTGTAATGGGTACTGATGTGCATGAAAGCAGAACACTCATATACATAAAATACATGAATAAATAAATATTTTAAAAAAAGAATTGTTGCAAGGCGATAATATTGATACAAAACAAGAGTGTATTCTTAGCCAGGCAGTGTGGCGCACACCTTTAATCGCAGCACTTGGGAGGCAGAGGCAGGTGAATCTCTGTGAGTCAGAGGCCAGATTGGTCTACAAGAGCTAGTTCCAGGACAGCTAGAACTGTTACACAGAGAAACTCTGTCTTGAAAAACCAAAAACCAAACCAAACCAAAAAACCCCACAAAACAGAAAAACCCATTCCTCATGCACCGCATTTTACTTTGGAGCAGTACATTCACAGTGGCTATGCCTCTTCTGGAGATTCCTTGAGGCCTGGAGTGTCTGGCAGGAATGAGTCTTCCACAGCTATGTGTCAAGCACTACCTCTGTCCTAAGAGCATCTGCCTGATCCTTCCCAGAATGGCCTCTCTGCCTAATCCAGCCCTGAACAACCCTTGGTCAGGCTTCCCTCCAAGAGCCAGCTGCTTGGCCAGACTAACAGATAGCCTAGTGATCTGTCCCCTGCACACCGGCAAAAGGAGGAGCAATGGCAAAGTCAGGCACACTATAGGAGGTTTTGAGGGCACCAGGCCCTTCTAGGGACTGCGGAAGCACCTGTAGCCAGGAGCTGTGTCTGTGTATATGCACTGCAGACACGAGACTCAGGATCTCCACTTACATGTGCAAACACAGAGCAAAGGCATCCCAAAAGTCCAGTGGTATAGATCTATGGGAGAGTTGCTGATATCAGCTCTCAGTGCAGACCTGTAGGTGGGCACCAGGGATAGAGAGGGCCCTCCAGACACAAGATATACCCTAGGATATGGAGAGGACATGCAGATGGCAAGAACTGTCCCACTAGCATCTTCAGGACCCGAATCCCATTCCTCCTCTGACACTGTAGGCAACTTCCAATTCATCCACAAAATGTTAAATACTGGTTTCTCTGATTCTTTGATAAGGACTGAGGGCTAGCACACTACTCACAGCCAACAATAACGATAGCCCATTTCAGGGCATGGCCAACACCTGACCAACTGCACAATAATCAGCTCGTCGGGCTGATTAACCACTGATGGCTCAGTGGTTAAGATCATGCATGGACTGCTCTTCCAGAGGTCCTGAGTTCAATTCCCAGCAACCATATGGTGGCTCACAACCACCAGTAAAAAGATCTGGTGCCAACTTCTGTCTGCAGGGACACATGCAGGCAGACCATTGTATACATAATAAATAAAATAAATCTTTAAAAAAAAAATCAGCTCGTCTATTCAGCACACAGTAGTAGCACACCAGAGAGAGGCAGAGCAAAGGCTATTCTGGGCCCAGAAACCCACAGTAACAGAAGACTACACTGAGTTTGAGCCTGCGACCCACTAGCTAATTCCACAATGTAGCTAAGATAGTTGTCTTTAGGGTCCCCTGCTCAAGGTTAGACCTATTCTCAAGCCCTACACTCCCAGGCCAGGGCTTGCCAGCACACCACAAACAAACAATCCATATGATCACTGTAGTAGATACAAACAACAAATGACATGCTTAATGACATCATTCCTATAAGCAAAACACTGACCCTTTTACACTGAGATCAGCAATGAGTCAGGCCTACCTAGCCTCAGCAGTTTTGGGGAGCCCAGCAACATATGAAAATAATGCAGCAAAGTTTTGAGAATAAGTAAGAATAAAGGTGGCAAGCAAGAACCAGTAATGTCTGCTCATAGCCTGAGTGGTTGCTAAAATAAGAAACTTTACAAGTTTACATTTTAAGATTAACATAGCAAACTACTATAATTTGATCAACAGATTCAATGTAACCCCAACCAGAATCTGGGCAGTTTTTCCATTGGAAAGTTAACAAAATAAATCCAAATCTGAAACTCTAAAAACTCAAATCAATGAAAAGTTAACCCCAAATGACTTAGGACAATTCAAGTAACCATACTTCCCACAATAATCTACAGATTACTCTTACTGCAGGATATTTGATCACACTGTGACAACCCAAGATTGTGTTGATAAAGTTAACACTGAATCGTGGGCAGAGCCAGTGACTACTTGACAAAATTGGCCATAGAGAACATGGAGGAACCAGGATATGGATAGAGAGGTACAAGAAGGAGTGGGGAGGGACTTGGAGATTCAATGGCTTCATCTCTTTTGGTCTAGGAAGTGTGGAGGGAAGGTCAACTGGTCACTCCTCCACCCCTACTTTGATCTATATAAGGTTTTCACCCCAATATTTGACTACTGAGTCTTTATACTTTTAAGGATAAATTTATAGAACTTAGGAAAAATGACACTCTGTCTCAAAAAAAAAAAAAAAGAAGGAAGGAAGGAGGAAGGGGAAGGAGGCAGGGAGAGGAAGGGGGAGGGAAACAGGCAACATAGTGACTCAGAATAATCAACACAGCACTTCCAAGAAAGAATTCTAAAAGGTATATACACCTCCAATTTCAAATTCACCACAAACCTAATAAACAAGATCCATACAGCCTAGCAAAACAGAATAGAGGGCCTGGAAATGATTCTCAACAAGGAGGGTGCTAACTGGTTTTCCATAGAAACACTGGATATGCACACATAAAATGGAAAATGGACCCAGACTATTACAAGGAACAACCTCAAAACACAAGCAAGCCAGATGGCCAACCCCAGACAGCAGAAGACATAATCATAGTTTGGGGTGTGAGCCTGTACATTCACCCCGGTGATAACACCTGTGAAGGCCAGAGATAGACACTGGGCAAGTCCTCTACCACTCAGCTCCTTATCTTTTTGATAAGATGCCTCTCACTAAGCCTGGAGCTTCCCATTTTGGCTAGTCCGGCTGTCCACTAAGGCCCTAGATTCTACCTGTCTCTGTTTCTTCAGTGTCGGGGTGACAGGTTCACATCACCACACTCAGCCTTTTATATGCTCGACTGGGGATCCTAAATCAGGACCTTATACTCATTTTTTTAAAATATTTATTTATTTATTATTTATAATGTATACATTATTATGTGTGCATGGCTGCAGGCCAGAAGAGGGTACCAGACCCCATTACAGATGGTTGTGAGTCACCATGTGGTTGCTGGGAATTGAACTCAGGACCTTTGGAAGAGCAGGCAATGCTCTTAACCTCTGAGCCATTTCTCCAGCCCAGGACCTTATACTTATACTTTACTTATACAAGCACTTTACTCATTGAGCTGTCTCCCCACACCCCTAAGAATCAGTGACTAACAAGATAAGGCATAAAATAAGCTGGACACCATCAGAATGAAAAAAGAAAATGTGCCTCAAATGACACCAAGGAGCTGGAAAGATGGCTCAGCTGTTAAAAGTGGTTAATGCTCTTGGCAGAGGTCCTAGTGTCTACACGGTGGCTCACAAGCATCT